TTAAAAAACTGAAACATGTTGCTGTGTTTTGGTGTAATAGTCGGATGTTCGTTGAAACATGTTGCTGTGTTTTGGTGTAATAGTCGGATGTTCGTTGAAACATGTTGCTGTGTTTTGGTGTAATAGTCGGATGTTCGTTGAAACATGTTGCTGTGTTTTGGTGTAATAGTCGGATGTTCGTTGAAACATGTTGCTGTGTTTTGGTGTAATAGTCGGATGTTCGTTGAAACATGTTGCTGTGTTTTGGTGTAATAGTCGGATGTTCGTTGAAACATGTTGCTGTGTTTTGGTGTAATAGTCGGATGTTCGTTGAAACATGTTGCTGTGTTTTGGTGTAATAGTCGGATGTTCGTTGAAACATGTTGCTGTGTTTTGGTGTAATAGTCGGATGTTCGTTGAAACATGTTGCTGTGTTTTGGTGTAATAGTCGGATGTTCGTTGATAATACAGGAAATATATTCAATGTCAGATGCAGTGTAAAAATTCACCGTGAATTTAAAAATTATAAATCAAATACTGGTACATTTCCATTAACTCAATTGAAAACAGTGATTTCAATTAATCCCAAGCTAAAAGTAAATCAGACAGTCTTGTGAAAGGTTCTCCCTTGTAACTTGGGAATTCCTTTTCATACAGGGCTCTATAACCTGCATTTATGTCTGACACGATTCACATATATGAAATATATATTTGAGAAACTTATACATACTTATTAAAGGTACAAATTCTGATGTTTCTGGAAGGTTTTCAGCCACGGCCAACATAAACACAGAAAAAGCCAAAAGAACAGTTATTCCAAGAGCTATTTTTTCACCACTATCGGGAGGTAAACAAAACACCAATAATGTTAGTGCTGACATCATTACACATGGAAACACTACATTATACATATAGTATAAAGTTCTTCTCTTTATGGTTATTGTAAACGTTACATCCGGAAACGGTTCTTTACAACAAGCGTAATAAACCACATTTCTCTCAATTTTAACATTGAGTAATTGCCATTCGCCGTTATTAACATAATTAGTTAAATCCACTTCACTTGTTCTATTAGTCATATCCACTTGAAATCCATCATAAGTCCATGATCCAAATTTCATTTTACAAATCTGAGCATCAAATGGAAAGAATGTCACATCCACTTTACACGAACTTTGCATTTTCGTTGGAACCGGCCAGAAAATATTTCCAGAACTCTGAACCATGGCATTAGCAGGCATTAGTCCATCGGTATATTCAGCAGCACTGAAATAGAATTTTATTCATATGTGTTACGTCCTCTACTGGGAATTATTGACCTAGAATTTGTTGAACATTGTGGACAGAATTCAAAGTTTTAGTTTTCAATGTATATATGGGAGTGTAATGTATCTGTGAAGGTTATTAGAATGACATACTTACTTATTATAAAGGACTATATCTGGTAACCATATTTTATGACATGGTATTCTAATAGTTGTTATATTATTAAAATCTTTAGGATCCCACGTTAAAAATTCGTCTGTCCATTCCTATGATTAAGACATTACATTACAATAATTTTAATAGTAGGTTTAGTTTGATAAAATTACTTACAGCTTTTTTATTTATCAAAATATACAAAATGATTGGACAAAGCATTATCTTAATGTATCATAAGGATCCATTCGTGTTAAATATTTGCTTGACAGGTTGATATTTAGCATCCATATCCCTTTACGTAAGAGTAAGTCTGGCATGGCTATACGTTTTTTTTTTAAAGTTACGCTTTCAGTGTTAATGTAAACCCCCCTGTATTAATCTGAAACGAATTGACATGCACATAAATAACATGTCTAAATCTTGTGTTATATTATTAATCATGTAACTATTTACCTGATCTAACCAAACGTTGGTGACTAGTATTTGGTTCTTCTCGTCCTGAAAACATCAAATATTAAACATTTTATAACATACACAGTCAATTTATTGTCAAATAATATCAAGTCAGAACTGATACGTTGATAAAAGCATTCAACAAATTTATTTTTAGAATAGCTTGAAGTTTTTTTGGAATTTAATAACCATAAAGACGGATATTGGGTGGCCTACATACCCCTTGAGACTAAAAGAAAGATTAAAGGTAGATAAACGTCATTTCCATTTATATGCTATGTTCATCAATTTTTTCAAGAGCCAGATTATGATTAGGAGGAGTAAATACACACTGTATTCTGGACTACTGCAAACTCGATATTTAAATTAAGTTACATTTTGTTTGATGTCCCAAGCCACGACTTCAATGGGATAATCTAGAGTAACTATCCAGAATGCAGTAAAATATTCTACCTAAAACAAGGCTTACCAGCTGTAAATGATAAGGCGGACATTACTTTAATCTTGTTAACTATGCAAAGGGAACATTCCAGAAACACTATAAAACTCAAGAAAGACCAGGATGAATCAATAAATTTAATCATTTTTGGCATATAACAATTCCCATCAAAAATAACTGTATCCTTTAATATAAATTCTATTTCTTCTTTTAATTTCCTTTGTAAACTATCTTTTTCTTTTATCATTAAATTGCGTTTTGGATATTGATCTAAGCAAAGCCGGATCCGACGATTATAACAACAGGGAACAGGACAAATCGGACCATAGACAACTGGAGCCAGCTTACAGAGACAACTAGAACCACATTTAGAAGAGAACGAGCACCACTTCAGAACACATCTCCAATCACATTTAGAAGACAACTCAGACCACTTTTCTACAAAAACCAAGCCGGCTTGTTGGTATACGACAAGTTTGCGACGGCGGAAGCTGCAGGGCTCAATTTAGACAGTATTACATTGCAATTTGGATTTAAAATAAACCGTTTTTGCGATAAAATATTTCTTATGCTTTGAGGAACCGTTTTATTTAGTATAGAAATAGCTTTATTCATTGTATCTTATTTTACAATATGATTATTTTATCAATATGATTATATTATTTAAGGCATAATTAGTGAGATCGATCTAGAATCTGCAATTTGAATTGTTACCGAATTCTTATTAAAGGCGAATCAATTTTTAAATTTAATTAGAAACGTTTTGTATACGTTTTATTGCAAGGGAAAGAATTCTCTGCAATTTTATGTGACCACGGAGGATACTTATGGATATGTTTTATAACATGATTTTGGTCTCAGTTGGCATCAAATCGGTAACAGAGATGAAAGACGACGAACCATAAGTCTTCGGAGTACTGTAATTCGAAGCATTGCACGAAGGTACAATGAGTACCTCTCAATATAAAAGAAAACCCCTATAGACTATTACCTAACCTCCTCTGTGATGCTTTCTATTCTTTCTACCACCTCTTTTCATCTTGCATCCACTCTTATAATCTCTCTCTCTCATCCGTCTACCATTCTTGAAACATCTCCCTATAATTATTTCCTCTTAATCTACCCCTCTTAACCCTTCATCTCGACTTTTGACTTGTGTACACTTCCCTTTTCATCTAGCTCTCTTACTTCCTTGTTTTCTCCCTTACAATAATTTGTCTTTCCTCCCATCTTCCACTACTACTCTCAACCTACACTGTATCTTCTCCCTACTGCCGACCACATATCTTTGTTAATCGCCTGTCTTTACTTCAGTTTCCAATTTTTTCGATCTGAATTGACCCCTGAGAAAATGATATACCAAGCAGTTCTAGGCATGCTTTTAAAAAAAGTTCATGAATGACAAGGAAAGTGTTTTTGATGAAGAATTAGGTATTATTATAAGACTATTAAAGAATATGATATTGAAGTAAAAGCTACTTCAGGTTGTTTTCGTTGCCACCCTCAATAGATTAATTCTAAATAATCAGATTATTTCTATTCTAGACTACTTTCAATCATCAGACAGCTTCATTATGATAGTGTTAATATAGACAGTTAATTTCTTCATTCTTACTACTTCATATAACAAGTAGATCATAAACCACGTCAATTCTAATTCCACACAACAGACAGTGTGGTGCTGATTGATTGAGAATCGTATTGTTCCCATGGTTTAAACTTTCTTACACCATCAGACTGAGGTCAAGCAATTACATTATTCTGATTGCATTTCATTCACTTCTGAAATTGAATATTTCTAAAATGTATAATTCACTATGAGTTTTCAAGCGATAAATTAAAACACTGGACAAAATACAACTACTTGCCAGAACCAGAAATCGGGTCGAGCATGTTGGTTTGAGGATCATTTGTGTTATATTAAAAACTTCACGCACAAGTTAAATTAATTTTGTAAAAGGAAAACCACCAAGGTTTTGGAAGTCATGCTATCCGGGTAGAAGCAGAGCTCTGTGCTAAAAGACCTCAGTGAACACATGGATTTGTCAGTTGGCTCTACCTTAGATAATGTAAGATTGCTATTAATACTTAGTTTCCAAAAAGGTTTTATGAACCCGTGCGGTCAGACAACAAACTATTGATTTAGTGCTTCACGTGACAAAGACACGGTTTGCCCTTGCATGTACTTAAAATCCCAAGAAGAAGTCAGAAGAAAGAAGTGGTTCAAAGAATTTGTAAGTTAATCGTATTGAACTAGTCCTAGTCACGAACACCTCTTGTCGTTAACTGTACACAACTAACATTTGTCAGATAGTAATGTTACGTTACGATAATGCCTATCGTGTTATATTATGATGGCTGTTCGAATTCATTTGCTTGATCTAGAAGCTGCCAATGCCAAATATATCTGTTTTAAGGACCAAATCTATGAGCTTCATTTTAGTGGATTAAACCACTTAATCATCTTACTTAGATGAAAAGCCTCTGCAAAGGTCTAATAAATAACGAATGCAAATAAAACGCATACTATTACAATTGCTATTTGACCTTCCTTAGAAGCACGAATGATGAGTACTGCACAGATTATGTACTGATCCCCCTATTAAGTCATCATTTCTGAAAAGAACTGATCCATTCCAACAAGCTACATAATTTTGTGAAAAGGAACCATAGGTCTTAAAAATTTATTATGAACAGAAGAGAAATAAGATCAAAAATTGTGGTGAGAAATTCTTATATTTCTCATGCGTTTGGTAATCAATTGTCCAGTGAGCATTATTTTGTCCAATCAGTAACTGTTCTTCTTTCGTCGAGTGTTGTTAAGTGTTCTAGAATGGTTATCAAAATATCTGGAAGTAAGTGAAGGTAGGAACTGGTATGTCATATGAAAGCAATGCTCACACGACTGATAATATTGACATAAAGGACGGAAATACCATTAATTCCTACTTAAAGACTGGTGGATTAACTTGTAGAACTATTCAGTATGGAGATAATCCCTGAGTTAACATCTAAACAGGCTAACTTGATCTCTTAGATTACTCCTTTTAACCAACTTCTCGGTCATATACGTCAGGACAGAATTGTTTGTTTTCATCTTAATTAGTTACAAACATTTTCATGATAATCGAGACGACAAAAACTTGTGTCTAGCATTGTCAATTCTTAGACGAATTCTAACACTTTTAAAAGAAATATCCATTTAGGCTAAATTTAAATGATATTTTAACTTGTAGGATCATGTGAAAAAAATGGTTAAATAAGATGATATTGATATTTTCGAACAATATGTGAAACATTTCATTTCACCACCTCCATCGATTGAATTTAAACTTATTTCAAAGACTTCTTAAACAAACTTCAGGTTTATTTCTGGAATCGAACTCGCCTAATGAGTTTGTAACACTTTTGTTTTCTATTTACAGAACAGTAAGACGTGAAAAATCATAACATTTCTATTTTTGAATTCAATATTTCAAATAGTTTTTTTAAATAGAGATATAACAGTTATTTAAATATTGATTTTAGAGAAAAAAGAAAAGTTTCAGATCTGGAATCAATAGGGGGAAGTGGTGTAAATCGTCCCATAATGGCAATCAATGGGATAAACTAGGGTAAAAGGTGGAATAATAATCATATTATATATAATTTAAATTAGGTAAACTAGGTTTAATTTGATTCTAAACAACTTTACCTATCATTATTTCTCAATTTATATCTTTAATAACACCTCATTATTGTCAATCAATTTCATGGTTTAAATTGCATGCCATATAAATTATCTTTTTGACTTTAAAGAGATAGAAAGAAAAAAATCTCTTTGAACTTTTCTCAACAAAAGCTTTTAAATTTACTTTAGATACTGAAATGGTTGGTGAGTTGATTAGGTCTGTTATAGCTTTAAAATTTAGTCTTACAGCCTACTACACCTTACCTAATTGGTAATCAATGGGAAATGAAGAACATAAAATAAAACGGAAGTAAACTTCTTCGCGTTCTGGACTTCCCGTTTACAGTCAGATATGAATGACGAAGTCTATCGTGATTGATTGGTTTAAACTATATACAAATAGCCGGTAGGACATTTAGAATCAGTGTAATTGGTGAAGGTTTACTGTAATTACTATCTCCTATTATCGTTAACAGTACAATTCAACAGTCGGATTGCAAGAGAAGAAATAGTTCTACCACATTTTCATTAGACATATAGTTATAAATAGAACACATTCATAAGGAATCAAAATGGTGCTCTACGATTTTTTTATTTTAACTTAGCAACGGCTTTATGCACTTTTTGATGTATTTGGAAAGTAATATGATTTTTTTTCAAGTCAAGCCTTATCAAGACCCCTAATAACAATACCACGATCACTTGAGCGATCTTTTATACGTTTCATATTGTTGGACCAAGATATTATGCAAAAATCATCACATAACCAACTAAACAGTTCGTATTCAAATAATTTTTTACATTCTACAGAATGTTGAAGTATTTCCTTTTCATGAATTGAGACCAGTCTATCAAAGAAACGAGAGTTTTGAGTATTTAATATTGATTTCTAGAAAGACCATTTGAACAAACTTTACAGAAAAAATTGCGCAATTGAAAAGTTTAACTTGTTCTGTTATTTGTAGAATTTAGCTCATTCAATAACCATATTCAATATCAATATAATTTTATGAACATCTAACTCAGTCAAGAGCTCTACTACTCAGAAATTATCATGATGTGCTATTGCATGTTAGGATGCTAACATTCCAGATTAAAAATTTCTTGATATGTTCGCATCCTAAAAAGCAATAACACATCATGATAATTTCTGAGTAGGAGTGCTGTTGACTGAGTTAGATGATCATAAGATTCCAGATTAAAAATTTCTGTATGTTACAGGTCAAAATCTCACCTTCGATCGATTGGTTGCTTTGACTGCTTTGGCAACAATTGCGATTTCTAGGGCGGTTCGTTGATGTGCCCAGTCTCTTTGATTTCTCAGTGAAATTGCACAAAGTAAGGCAATATTTTAATATATAATCATCTTAAAAGGACAGATGCGCCATTATGATTTTTTGATCATACTTTAGACTCAGAAACAGGAATTATTTAGCTGAGCTAATCAGTAATAGTGTTCACAGATAAGCATCGAAATTAGAGCCTTCAAATCCACGTCTGACAAGAAATATCCGCGATTGAATGTTAAAATGACAACTCGCCAAGTTAAGATACTCTGTGATATACAGATAAGAAATATATAGAAATAGTGAGTAAAATTCCTAGTTCGAAGTATTTTGAAAGGCATTTTGCGATTTTCTTACATTTCTACTGCTTCTGAAGACAATATACGTATATTCAAGACTAAAATCAACCCCTCAAAATGGCACATCTGTCCCTTTAAAGACTCAGATCATTGCATAAAATGGATTTAAATGGGTATACCGCTCTTTTGTAAAAAGTAAATTATACCTGAAAATATTTCTTAAGTATGCTATTTAGGTCTATGTATCTTCTTGATCGAACTGAATTTATTTTAAAAGGGTTTGTTAAAGTCGGAGAATGCTAATTGTTTATTAAGCAGTTTGACCTAGTTTTGGGGTATTATTAGTTTAGAATACGCAGGAGACCTCTTTCTCTACAATTAGGCGGTTTTTTTTTTACCCAAATCCCTATTATAGTTTTCTAACAGCTTCCCAATAAGATAAGTTAAGATTTGCACTGAAGATTAAAAAATGTGTAAGTTGCTACAATAAGAGCTAATAGATGACTACCAATCAGTTAAAAAGCATGAGAATATAAAGCTCTTATTGACAACGTTTCATTGACAATTACTGATTCTTGTTTCAAGGTAAACATAAATGTCTGATAATAATGAGGTCATAGAATTGTCAATTTATTTTCTTTACGTCGTCTTGAATGAAGTTAGTTAGGAGCTGTTGTATTACTAATAGCCTGACAATCATAGTCGGTAAAATATACTACCTATAGAAATCGGTATAAATACTCAGATGACCCAATTGTAAGAAATGTGCCATTTCTTCAATTTGATCTTTTGATCTGTAGCTGGCCCATTAACTTACAAATATATCGATTTAATGTGCAGAAGTAGCATAAAAATCACGAGGTAAATTGTGACTATTGTAGGTATAAAATATATTTTAATATAGCATTCAGCTAATGATCAGCAATGATACGTAACATTTACATTCAGTTGTTAACCAGATAAAGAAGAGGAGGTTACAACTGCAGTATTAAAAATGTTCCTCGTTATAAACTGAATGAGCTTACATAAGATCATTAGCCTACGTAAAAGTAAATTTCATATAATTTCCCGATGCTATAAAATGAAGATAAAGTTCACTTCATCACCGTCAGCACTTTTATGAACAGGACCACAAACCGTAGCAACCCGAAGAAGTTAAGGTAACCTTACTGAAAGCAGTTTTATATTCTAAACCGACACTTTAAAGATTGAATTCCATTAATAATTCACATATCACAGATTGGCTAGACTTTTATTACAGTTGATAATAGTGAAATAACGTTTTATTTTAATGACACCCAGCCATTTCACACAAGTTGTAATATTCCCATTTCTCATTTATATGGTTTTAAGGATTAGATGCTATGTAATGTAATTTTGTAGAAAATTACTCTGGCAAAAATGCCATATTTCAAATGAGGTTTGAATAATTTAACTTCATCAAGGTTTTACCTGTAACAAACCTGATGGGTATATAGATTCATAATTCTGTAATATATTGTATCTTTAAAAAATAGTAGTTTTTTGACATTGAAAATCGTGATTTTCCCAAATTGATCATAGCCATTAACCTGATAATACACTTTGTCCACTACTAACCTAGGGCTGAATAATATCGAATATTCAGGTCCAGGGCTGAAAAAGTAGGTTTTGTATTTTAGGTTATGTAATAGATATCAACAAATAATACTTAGCTAAAACGTTCTTTTTTGTGTAAATATTTTTGGAACTGAAATATACGTTGCAATTAATTATTCATTTCTCTTAGTTTCTACCGTCTTATTAGATGAATTATATAGCATTCGGTGTGTGTGGTCTATTTCCGTGAAGCATAACTAGACATTTATGTTGAGCGGAGGAACACTTGTGGTTTTGTGTCTTAATTTGAAAATAGTAATTTTCTTTGAATAAAAACAATAGCAATAACCATCCGGTTAGAAATTTATTCCGACTAAGAACTTTCTATTTCTGTATGACCCTCTCTCAAGGCAATCCAACAAATACCCTTTAAAACTGCCATTTAGAAAAGTTCGAAATCTGAGCACTTATAAGTAGTTGAAGAAACAGGAAAATAATGTCCTCAACCAAATGGAATATTAGACAAATTATATGTGTGAAACTTCCTAAGCATTACTCCATTTATTCCATTTTATGGCTTGACGATTTTAATTTCGTAAATATTAATAGCTTATAATTACTGTATAATATCCATTGAATGTGAACGAGTTTAATACTGCCAGATGCAACAACTATTAGACAAAATGTTAGATCTAATGAACACCATTGATGAAGATGTATTTGTCCTGTACCATGTCGAACTTTTACCAACTGGGAAATCAGACTAAATTGTTGATAAATCGTTTTTAATGAATTGTTGATGTAGTTCAGTGTCATAGTGTAAAGTGAATTGTCTATGAAGTGTAGACCCTGAAATCGCCTCTTTTCCATGCTGGGGGGATGAAGCGAATGAGGCTATAGCGACACCATTAGTAATATCAGGAGATGTCTAATGCCATTATACCAACTTCCATACACCATCGTATTGAGCAAACAGATTGTAAAGCGATAGCAATAAGCAACCATTTATCTCATATAACAATAGGCTACAGAATATTTGAATCGCAGTGCGAAACATTTTCATAATCGTCAATTATCGCCAAGTATTTGAAAATTCTGATGACTATGAGATATGCCAGAAAAGGGTGGGTAAAATCCGTTAAACCAGTCACTTTTCAGATAGATGAGGCATTTTGGGGGGAATTTTGCTACAGTATAAAAAGTAAATAAAGAAATGGTACTTACCATGTCGAAAATCTGTGTTAATGTCAACCCCATCTTGATTAAGACAGCAGTATTAGCCTGTCTTACTGGACGAACTGACTTCTCATACCCACGTAAAATATAATTTAATAGTCTCTGTTCATCTGGTATATCAACACCATGTCGACCATGTTTATGTCTTTCTACATGGTAACCTAAGTAATCGATGTTATCGTGGCAAGCTGAAAATCACAAATGACATAAAATTTAGCAACAAAACTTATGACTTTACGTTTTTAGAGCAACAATCTTTATTTCGTCTTTCACATAGACTATTTAAATGAAAGTTTCATGATATATATTTGATATTTTCTGATGACCGAATCAAACCATGATTAGTCTTGAATCAGTGCAAATATATAGGTGGGCACTGAACCTTAAAGTGTATCTTTAATTTCTGACCAGAACATGCCAAGGGTTTATTAGTGGTAGGATAATTATTGCATTATTCAATAAGGAATATAGGTTGTTTCATTCATTGACACACCAAATTATATTACAACGATCTATTTAGTGTTGCCCTTCCTATTTCACTCCCATATCTTTCAAGCAAGCAAATTTGTAATAGTGTATTTTTGACTGGATAACTAAAAAAAGCAGTTCATTGCAAAACCTCAAAACCAAATTCATTTCCAATATAGATATGTTTCGTCAAAATTAAAACCACAAGAATTGATAAATTTAAATGGGCAGAGTTTCGTTATAATTATTATAATGTAGGCGTTGTAAGTCTTTTTCACTGTTAAGGTTACTACACAACGATTTCACTATTCTGTTGGCAACATTTCCTTTACCATGATTGTCCAAAAATAGCTGCACAGTCCTTTCTCATTGTCAGATTTGAGTCACGATTTACAGCGGTTGAAGAAATCAAATTATATGTTGTTTCTGACAAAGAAATGCTACATTTCGTGATTCAGCCAATTTGCTTTTCCTCATTTAAATAATTATTGGTTTGTAATAACACCTTTAAAGTGTTGTAATTTTATTAAATTTCAATCTCTTTCACTGAATCTTTGGAGACTGAAGCAAAATACTTTAGTTGACTATTTCAGAGATTTTCAATCAGCAGTAATATGTCATGTGAGAGCTGTACACTTATAGAAAATATTAGTAGAAATATTAATATCTGCTTTGGAGAATTCGTTACATAGCGATATTTAAATTTTCCATTTATGATTGAATGAAATAAAACGTCTATATACATTGATAGAAATATTGTTCTCGAAGATAGATTGCGAGCTTAATAAGACTCAACAAGTTGCAAACGTCAAATTTAAAATATTCTTTTCTGTCAGACTTCGCTAAAACTCGCGTCAAAATGATACAATTTGTTATGACCCTAGAGAAAAAAGTCAAGCAGCAAGATTTGTATATTATTTGATTAAATGACAAGTTAGAAAGAAAAATAGAGCTAATTTTGACTCAAGGGAACGACGTAAGATAATAAGTATTATCAGAATCAATGTCAATATTTACAATAAACACACGAGAAATGGTTCTAGTTGATCAAAGAGCTTACTGTAGTTGGACTAGACAAAGAGACAAATAGCTAAACGTTCTGAAATGTTCATGATGAACATGTATTGTTCAAATAAACTCAGATGAATTAAATGTCCGCAATTAATATAGATTTATATCTATTTCTCTATTTATTTATAACTGTTATAAAGCTATGGTTCCAGATCTCTCAGTATCAGCCTTAAAAGGATCATACTTGTCATTTGTTTTGCCTACTTTATTTCAGATAACTATCTTGAAACACAGCCCCCACCCCAGTCACCGTCTATTATGTTCAATTGCCTTGACGTTAACGTTATAAAGAATATATATTTTGAGGGTCTAACACGGTTCTTCAGGTTCTTCTTTCTTTAATACTCATAGACTTACATACTTACAGCTGTAAAATCTTTGAATTATGTGAAGTTTTACCAATAAAGATTATTAAAAGTTATATAGGTAATATAACTGGCATTATATAAATATTATGTTTACAATATGATAGTTTTTAATCAGAATAGGTTGTAGGCTATACATCAATTTGAGTAGAGTTATATACTGTTTATAATGTTCTCTATCAGATAGAATAAAGGTAAGAAGGAGCCTTGGGGTTATTAAAATATATATTAGTCTAGAACTAAAATTTATACTTTATTATCATGCCTTGAAGACGAAATCAAGCACAAGAGAAAATGAAGTGTTTGTGATGAAAAGATTAAGTAGAAAACACATTATTTCCCAAGATTTCCATCACCGAAAAAACAAAAATTCGATTATGAAAATCACTAAGCCATTAAATCAAATTTATGGATATTTCTTTCTCTAAAACGGTTTTCACTTTTCTTAAAATTAAAGTGAAATTGTATGTACTTGTCGGAATAGTTTCATAACACACGACCCACCATATGTACATACAACAGAACAGACGTCAACATCAAAACCCTTCAGTTTAATCAATGATTTTTGGGACTTTATGACTAACATACCCTGTTGAAGTTACCAACAGCATCCACAGAACTTTAGTTGTTTTTCTTGTTAAGAAGGCACTTGTGTTGATTTGTCAGATTGATATTTTCCAAGCAATTTAATCTCAGTCAGATTTCGAAAGGAAAAAAAATAATACTCACCATTTATGATTATCCAGGTCAGTGAAAAATATATCCACAAATATATATACTGGACACACATGATTTTACTGGACAGTCCATAGATTACTATTCTTTATATATATATATCTCCATACATTTCTGAAAATATAACAAGTTCTTCAAATATACATCTTTATTCATCCCAAATCCTTAAAACATAAACTATACCATCAAATCATGCAATTAATTCAAAAGCCTTTCAACCAAATCAAGTTATAAACTAATCTAAAGGTCTTAGAAGAATGGAAGCTCGATATAAGAGAATAATATCAGCTGCATCTATCCAATTTAAAATAATAAAAAGAAGGCGATGCGCTGCTTCAATATAAGTATAAGCGTATAATCTATGTCCGACCGACGTCTCCTTACATAAAGTGAGTTAATAAGTAAGCATAATATTATACAAGACTCAGACAAAATAATTATACTCTTCTGCTTCAACACATTCTTCAACAGCTTCTTCAAATTAGTTAGAAAATAACCTAATTAGTTATATTACAACATCTAGTGATATATTGTATAAGTAATAGAAATTTATGTATTACCATGCATCAAGTTAGATTATTCAATTTAAGTTCACAGCAACCTTATTCCCTTTATCACGAAGTTTTCTACTTCATATCACATTGAAACTTACAAAAAGCAACTCTTTCAATTTGAGTTTCCAGTGTTTTATGATTCAATTTCAATGTATGATATTAACAAAGGAATGTACAAAGTTTCAACTAAGAATTAATGTCAATTTGTAATAAGAAAGATGATGGCCCATGATGATATAACTTTATTTGTCTTTAGATAATGTAGAATATTAGCAATGAAATTACAGAATAAAGTAAATGACAACAAGCGACAAACTGATTAAGTTTTATGTTTATGATTAGATGGTGCTATTGTAATCATTCTAGTAGGTTTTCATCGTTACATCGGACGTAAGCATGGTTTTATAGTTTGTTAAACTTGAAATCTCCACCTCTGTCATTAATGCCAAAACCTCGAGTCGAAGTCAAATGTAGAGAAAATCGATGTTATCTACTTTACGCGGGAAACCATCCATCATTATTCAAAAAAACATTCTGGTGTCATTTATGATACATCAGAGTTCAATAATCAAGACCAATTCGTAAATTGACAGCCCACTTTTCTACGATAATAACTGGATATGATTAATCATTCGCTGTGTAAGAATTACTGTACAATACTTATTGTTGCACAAGTTTGAGTTGGAGATTGAGCAATGACCTTAATATTGAGTTGTTTTTATGATATCGTGTTGGACAAATTTCGACAAATTGAACAATTACCAGGAAGACATAGTAAAAGTCAAGTACTGATGAATACGTTGATGTGACCATCACGACATAAGTCAATGTAAAGGAATCGATGTTGACACAAGGTGAAAGATAAGGTCGCTAGAAAACGTGACGATTTCTAAATATCGACAATAAGTCATTGGTCAGAGATTTCTAGCATAGAATAATTATTTCATTCACTCACTCAATATACCACGTTTATTTGACGTTCAAAGTGAAAGTTTTCTCAGTTTACCCAGAATAATAGAATCGATTTCTTTAATCTTTCAAACAGCCGTAAAATTAAAACCAATAACAAGATGTTCATGGAATCATTCAAGTCCGTTATACAAACATTGATCCAGGATGTAAAACAACATGCTAAATAGATATATAATATGATAAAACTCTGATAAATACTTCCTTTCGATATTCTTTTTTTTAAACAATATTTTATTCACATAAATATAACAAGGATTGGGGAACAGGCTTTCGTCTAAATAACCTCTCTCCTGATACAAAATATCTATGTACAATACCTAATATTCGATAGTCCTTATGAAATGTATTGGGGAAATTGAATGAAGTGATGTTCAAAATATTCAATATTCAACTAAGTGAAAATATGTCCGTCAATAAAATAACGATATATCACTATCTATTTTTTTTACTAATGCCAATGAGTAAAAAAGTAGATAATAAAATTCAAAGACAATCTCTAGAGGATGGTACTTTTGTCGTTCAACATATCAATCTTCCAGGACGATATAGAGTGATGAATTGCTTTTCTACCAAGAATTATACACTTTCATTTCTTCGTCGTTTCAACTAACATCAAACAATTTTAGCCATCATTGAACTGTAATCTGTCTCCAGCTCACTAACTCGGTAATATTAGTCAGTATTTTTTTATGACAAAATAATCTTTCTTAAACAAATCTAATACTTTCAAGAAAATACCTAAACACAGTTATATAGTCCTCTACAATCCACATAAATGTGGTAGTTTTATATCATCGCTTATTACTATAATAAATAAAATGTCCATCCAATTTTATCACAGAATTTGATATTGGTGGCTATTCCAAGCAAAAAAAAAAATAAAATAAAATAAAAAAAAACAAGTCAATGCATATGTTATTCTGTAATGAAAATTAAAACAATTGAAGTAAGT